TGACTCATTGATTTTTCAGATGTGGAAAAGTAGTTTAAAAGTTCGAAAGATGAACACAACTCTGTTCCGTTTAACCTCACCACCAGAGGTCAGCACAAAGAACCCCCACAGCCTCTATCAGTTGACATCGATCAGGCTGCTGAGTCAAATGACAAACGAAGGGACTGAGGGGGAAAGTGGCTGCTCAGGTTCTCCTCCCTCACCTGCCACTCACAGTCCTAATCTGTTTGCTCGCGAGTCCTACACAGGCTGCATGATCAATACACAACCCTTTAATAATGAAACCATCCTTCTTCCAGGCCTCTACGCTCTCTGAAAGGTTTGTTTGTGGGCCGCGTCTGTCTCACCTAAAGATCACTCAGCTGAAATGACTCGAGTGTCTTGCAAAAAGAAAATTATCCACAGTGTCTGGACATCAGAGGATAGTTTGTGCTTTTTCATTAACTCAGGAAGTGGAAGGTTTGAAACAGGATTTAACTTCTATTATTATTTTTTCTTATCCTTTCATGCTCATATGATACATTTAAAGCTTCTTCAGAAAAGTAAACATATTTCTGACAGGCAGGGTTTAATTTTTTGGGATCTAATTGTCATTGAGGATACATTTATTTTTATCATTATTGTATTGCTCCTAAGGAAGGCAACCAAGGTCTGTTATTATTATTATGAAAATGTAATTTTTTTCTGGATTCAATTCATTTGTAATTTTTATTAAATGGTGTTTCTTAAATCTGTCTCATGAAGCCAGTTTTATTGTTTGTTATTTTTTATTTCATGTCTTTTAGTGCTGATGGTTTTGTCATAAACTGCCTCCAGATTCATCCGCATTGCTCCTGTTTAATCAAGCATCAACATTGATGTAATCTTTTTGCCAACTCGAGGCTGCTGCTGTGAATAAACACAGCACTCAGACACAGAGACTAACTTATCCTCTTATTTGATTTATCAGGGCTGAATGGTGCCCATATAGCTGGTGAACTACAGCAGCTATAGGCTATAGGAGTTGTGAGCTTGGATTATGACCCAGCAGTCAGTGTTTGTAGAACTGAGAGAGTTTCTCTGTGAAAAATCTAAACTCACTCTGAGCTGAGCCAACTCATCAGCTTGCTACAGAAGCCTATATACAGCACAATGATTACAATCCGATAACTGTGAAAAAGAAATACACATATAGGAGCTGAGAGGAGTAATGCACATTTCAACGCTAATAAAATAATAATTGTCAGAGTCGACCTACTGCTACACATGGGAATGTTTTCACGCTTTGATTCTTTGCATATGATTTACAATTATTTGCTGATTATGTCACATGCTGTGTTTCTGTGATTATTGATTTCTTAATTACTTTAAGTATTTAAAAGTGAGCACTGACAATCCATAATGGGGGGGGGTGCCCTGGACCAGAGTCCTCCTGGTTGTCCACTTAACAGGAGGTCGGTAGTTTGATTCCCAGGACCTACAGTCTGCATTCTGTAGGGCCAGATGTGTGATATGAATGGTATATATATTTGTGGTGAAGAACATGAACATATAGTGGTGGATGTGTGTTTGCACACACTAATACTGATGCTGAGCCAAACAATGGTTTTTAATTCTGATTTCTGTTAAGAGAGTAAGGGTCTGATCATCCATCTATAAGTGACGTAATGGACAATGATTAATTCTTTCTCTGGGAGCGTAGACTTTCTTCTCCCCTAAAACATAATTTATATTCCAAATCAGAAGAGATGGGCAGCATTTTGACTTTGACGACATGTGTGCACGGACCCACAGAACCATTTACAGGTCAAATCTCTCATAATCTGCAGGTTCCTGGGAACTAATGGAAACATAGAGGTTTTCATCAAAGAGCTTCTGGTTGTACCCATTCCCCCCAGCCCCCCGTTCACCTTGTATGTGTGGATGAGACAGAAAGAAAGAGGGGGACAGAGAGAGTCTGTGTGCATCTATGTGCACTGAAATGCTGATTCCTCTCCTTTGGGCCCTGTCAAATGCACTTAGTGTCAGTTTTTCGCATAGCCCAAAAAAACAAACAGAGGAAAATCCCTGTAATTCCAAAAGGCTGAAGGCAGAGAGAGGAGAGAAGGAAGACAGGAGCCAGGGGGACGTTGTTCTGTTTTGGAGAAACCTGCAGGGCCTGTGTGTTTGAACATCTCTGAAGGACACACTCACCTCATGGTGAAGTCACAGCGTGTGATGTCGTCAGATTAGATTGATTCATGCTGCAACAGAAGTTCCTCTGTCAGACCTGCTCACTGGATCTGTGCTCTCCCTCAGGCTAATCTTATTTGTAAAGCTGGCAGTCTGAATACCCTTCTGGAGAGGAGCCATTTTATAAAAGAGTCCACTATGTGTCGCTGGTTTGTGGGTTGACACCAGACTGTTTGATTTAAGAGCAGAGACTGTTCTGAAGTCCTACAGGTTGGAGGATGTTTTGGGAAACATGCTTGTAGGCTTTGTTCAAACCACTCTCACATCTATATCGTATATGAAGCTACTACCGGGAATCTTTTCATCATTGTGAGGTTACTACGCTACATATCTAACCAGCAAGTCTTAACCCATAAATACATATTATACTATATCTCCTTTGTTTAACCCATGGAAAAACCAAAATGTAAGGATTTCTCAGGAGCTAATGTGCCGTACTACACCAGGAAGTAACTTCACCCAGCAAGAAACAGTGTTGTACATAAAAGTTGCTGGTTTCATATCATCATGCAATCATCAGGGTGGTATCGATCGACTCATCAAACTCTCAACAAGAGAGCAAACAAGTGCATTTACCAAAATTAGTCTTTTGATTATCCTTAATCCCAACGCTCAACTGAACTAAACTTGACATAAATCTATTCTACGCATCATGACTGACGACAGTAAACTGTGTAATATGCAAGTCAACAGTTTTGTGCCACGAGTTCCTAAATCATCTACTCCTGCTCACTGGATGTGATTTCCTGCCAGCAGTGTTGTAGTAATTCTGTTTCCTCTCAGCCAATAAGAATTAACTGGATTAGATGTGCAAGAGTAGTGATGGAGCAAGAAACAGATAGAACACACAGCATATGTGGACAAAGAGACTTAGCCCAAAGTATCACTTGTCTTTTCAAATATTAGCAGAACACAGCTCCACAGATCACGCAGATATTTAATGAATACTATAGTAAATATAGTGTGCTATAGTTCCACCTTTATAACATTAAAAATAATTAATAATTATTCATATCACTTTTGAAAATTCAAATAACAAAGTGCTTGATGAGGCAACACCTATTTTCAAAAATTCAATTAAAATCGTATTATCAATTAAGGCCTTAAAGGTCCAGTGTGTACATCTGGAGCGAGTCCTCTCTACGAAGGCTGCCATGTTTTTTCTAAACTGAACTAACTAAACACCTTTTGAGTTTTGATGACAACTGAAGGCTACCACAGGAGGGTGAGGTGAAGAGGAGACTTGAAAGAGATTACTGAATCACCTGACCTGACTTCCTCAGGCAGATCGTTCCAGAGCCTCGGCGCCCGGACGCTAAGACTCTGTCACTGTCAGTTTTCAGCTGGGAGCCTTGGACGGATAACAGGCCTCTGCCCACGGATGTCAATGTATGAGCCAGTGATTAGGGTGCTAAAAGGTCAGATATATAAAATGGAGATAAAAGCCATGCAGAGGTTTATAAATAACCAATAAAATCTTAAAATCAATCCTGAAACATACTGGGAGCCATTGTAAAGAGGCTAAAACAGGAGTGATGTGATCACGTCTATTGGTTCTTGTTAAAAGCTTTTACCAATGACTTTTATCAATGACTCCATTAGTGTGTTTACTGTTGGTGCTTTAAATATACTTATGTACTTTCACTTGCATGATTACAATTTTGAATATATTACTTTTTTATGTATATGTGCCTGAAGCAAATTTTGCTTTAATGATGCTTTGTAAATACATAAAATGGGACCGACTGATTCCTCACTTGAGTTTCTGTTACTTTCATTTAGTTTTAGTTTTACCCAGTAATAGTAGTGCTGCCAAATTAGAAATCAAAGTATCTCTCCCACAACTATCTTTAACTTAGAATAGGATAAAAAAGAAAGCCTTTATTGTCAGCTCAGTATCAGCAGAATACAACAAAATGTAAATTGCTGCTACAGTGATACATAGACAACAGAATAAAAGACAATGCACTCAATCCAGTGTACTAACACACCATAAAGACATGCACACAAATGCTTTCCATATATTTCACATGATCACTAAAAACTCTCAAAAATGCAACACAGTGTAAAATAAGAGTCGTACCGTTTGTTTAGTATGTTGGTTGTGAATCTGGTGGTTCGAGGTTTTAGTGACATGTTGCACCTCCCTGAGGGAAGAGGTTCAAACAGTCGGTGACCAGGGTGCACAGTCCTTCACAACTTGCAGAAGTGCAGCCTAAAAGTCTTAAATTGGGGCAAAAACTCAGAAGCAATCCTATTAGCCAGGCCCGGTTCTAGACTGCTAAGATTAAGGGGGCAATTAGGAAATCCAATTAAGCTTTTTCAGAAATCTGGAAATTCAGAGGGGCAAATTGAAATAAATTGGTAGATTCAAATGTTACAGAATAAAGTTGACCAGCCGGGTGGGCGGAGTAGGAATTTGGCTTGGCATTGCCCACCCCTGCCCACCTCTAGATCCGGGCCTGCTATTAGCGCCACCTGCACAGGTCTGACACCCATTTAGTTTGGGTTTTAGTCCCACCTCCCCTGACATGTATATATCATGCAGCCACGTGTTAATGTCAGTGAATAGGATCAGTAACTGATGCATATAGGAGCTGGAATAAAAAACCTCCTCAGTGAATGGTTGGTGGTTTCCTCTCAGCATCATGATAAGGTGAGATCCGGTGCAGGCCGCAGCTCCTCCTGTCAGCTGCCACTAGTGGTGATGCTGCTGCTCCCTGGTGTGTGGAGGAGGAGAGAGAGAGCGTGTCCGCTGCCCAATGACAGCGCAGGATGCTGAGAGAGGCAGAGAGAGGCTGCCAGGGTGAATGGAGGCGACAAGATGCCGTCTGCAACGGCGGAGAAGAGGAATTAACATCGATAAAGGTACGTTTCCTCCTTTGATTCCTCTCACACTCTGCGTGATTGTCATCATAGAAGCTGTGACGCTTGGAATCCCTCGTGTTTCCTCTGGTTTTGAAGCGTTTTGTGTGGGAAAAAAAGCAAAGGCTGTGCGCGTTAAAAAAAAAAATCCTTCTCGTATCGTGGCTGTACGGACACATCAGTCAGTCACCGGATACCGGAGCATTAGCATTTTAAATCCCTGTTTAGTGGATGGAGCAGCGGTGTGTTTCAAAATAAAGGTTTCAGCTCCATACAGGCTGATATTACACTGGTGTGTTCAGGTGCACCCACCACGTTAGGAAAATGTAGGCCCTGCGAGCTGTCAAGTGCTCGGTCGTGCCTTCTTCTGCAGCATCACATGTAATTCTGCCTGCACATCCCACAGAAGACACTAAAGGACATATTTCCATTTCAATAAGGTGTCCACATGTCATTAACATCTGTAGAGGGCGTCTCACGTGGTTTGCCTGTTCAGAGGACATTTCTTAACCACAGCAGGAATCTCTTGGCCCTTTTTGGATTTTGCTATTTAAAACAGCACATTTACATTTTTCTCATCCAATCTACCATCTGAAGTCAGTGGGAGGCATATGGGCCAGCGTTGAGGCTCTGTAGTAGAATACATGATGAGGATGAGGAGGCTGCATGTGTTGCACTTACCCAAGTGGCACTGCGCCTCACTGAGCCGGCTGGTATAAAGAGCAGGCTTCTTCTTTTTACATGAAATTTCTCCATTATAAAGCTATTGTAAAGGCTATTTATAGAGGCCTCCTCTTTGTCAGCTCCAGACATGCGCTCTGACCTCAGAGGCTCCACAGACCCTTGGTTTTATTCGCTCCAGAAGAAGAAAATGCCGGCATGCTGCTGCCTCTTAAAATGTCATGAGTGCCTCATAGAAACTACATGTCTCCTCGACCCCACTGACAGACTCAACCACGCCTGTGGTGAAATCTTTCTTTCTCTTTCTCACTACATCTGTAGCCATTGTTTCCACACCACCGCTCTTTGAATTACCACTGATCATTTCTTCTGGCGCCTGTATTGGCTTTTCCTGTCAGGACCTGGTAACTTGTTATTAATACCTGCGTAACATCAGCATTGTGACTATTCAGAGATCAATCAGAGCAACAGCTTTGGTTAGTATTTGGAAAAAGGTGCATGAAGGAAAAAATATGTGAAAAACGATGAAGGGCATAACTTGAACCCTGGCGAAGGGTTGAGGTCAAACACTAAAGGATTATTTCTTATGCTTGATATTCCCGAGATATCATCACTGTTTAGCAGTCATAGACTTGACAGATAAATAAATATAAAATCAGAAGGAGCAGAGTATTTCTTTGTTTGTGTACTGCAAATTAAATAGAATTGAGAAAACCAACCATTTTATCATTCAGTTTGACGGTACAATTATTGGGGGGGTTTTACAGGTTGGTTTTGACTGGAGGGGTTACAACCCCCCTATCCCTCCATAGATTACGCCCTATAAAACTACACAAAACAACCTACAGCTGGTGTGTCACTGTGGTAAAATATGCATTAGCACCTTCTCTCTGATTATCTAAGAACTGTGGGAGAGAGTGGGAGTAGAATAAAGTGCTGAAACTGACCTCTTCATTTGGCACAACCTGTGGTTCTCCAACATTATTCACTGTTTTTGCAGATACGTTGGTCACTTCCCTCTGCCCAGCAGCCAGCATTGTGCTGCGATGCTTTGTGACTTTGTGATTTCTGCTCCAAAATGAAAGAATATGCTGATTTTTCTCTGATATATAATTAAATACATATAGTGATTATATGTGGGTTTTTGAATAAGACAATAATTGTAATTTAAAGGCACCTTGGGCATTTTCAATATTTTCTGGCATTGAAAGGAATACATGTTTAATTTATGAATGAAAAAATATAAAAAGACACTGACTTTATTTAATTGAATTGTTCAAACCACAATCAATTCAGTATTTTCATCCTGATGTTCCAAGACAATAAGAAATCAATCGGTAAAATGTGATTGTGTGAGAGTGTAGCCTCTGGATGGACAGAAAAACTGATTATAAAATAATTTACAGGTTGGACCTGATATAGCAGAAAATATTCAGTTAAATGAGCCATTGTTATAGATACAGTAGCTGACAGTGTGGATTGGCAGGAAACATGCAGAGGTGAGGGGGAGGACATGCAGCAAACATCTCCCAGCATGCTGGAATCAAAGCACGGGGGATGTTTTGGTCACATGGCACCTGTCCCAGATCTGTGGCCCACCAGCACAGCACAGTTGGCATAATTTTTTTTGAAACAAACTCAGCTATACAGGTGAATCCCAGTCGTCAGTGTCAGCTTTAATCTGTTCTTCAAGTTTCAGGAGAATAAAAGATGATGTGAGGAAGAAGCACAGGACCCGGAGAGTCACAGCTTGGATCACTGGTGAATGTGGCACAGAGGAAGTTAAAAAAATTATGACAGCATATATAATATGACAAACAGAGTCAAACACAAAAGAGGATCCCATGTCGAATGGAAATCCTAACAAACACTGACCCAAACATGCTTAAAGCAGTAAAAATAACTAAAAACAAGAGTAAAACAATTAAAAACAGTATAAATAAATGAAAATTAAACATTCCAAAACGCTTTAAAAACCAGAACAGAGCCAGAGCCAGACTTCACAGACCTCACAGACCTCACAGACCTCACAGACCTGCTGACCGCTGACGATAAGAGTGGCAGTGTTTGGTGTTGCATATGTTTGCATATTAAAAATTTGAATTTAATTTGCCATGTCTCTCTCTGAGGGATTATTGTTTATAGGCTACATCATGAACTTAAAATCTCGAACACACTCTCTGTGCAAGCCTGATTTGTTCTGCTGTTTCATATCAAACATAAAATATGAAATGATATTTATGTTTAGAGCCCCATCCTATTTCTAGGCACCTGTTACTTAATATGGCATACAGAGATGACAGTGTCCCATGTGATCTCCTCTGCCAAGCTGCAGTGATTCACCCCTGGCAAAGTGTTTCCTCACAGATGATGCCTCAGTGAGTGCAACTCAGGGTTTCTGTCATCTACAGTCTTCATGCTCTGAGAGCAGACCAGTGGACACATGCGTCTCTGTGGAATGAATCGTCATTTCATCTGGCCCTCAAATTAAAACCAAAATAATTTACACAAAGTTAAAAACTTTGGGACAATAAGAGACAGAAAGCACGTATAAAGCCTCCAGACTGTCTCGTCACACTGTCACTCCTGCGTCACATGGGCTTTTCTCCAGGATTTTTCCTTTTACCTTTTGAAAAGTTATGCTATTGAGGTGCTTTATCAGTGTTTGCCCAGACATAGTTACCATGGCAACTGGATCTGAGAGCTAGAGTCACCAGAGGAGGGAAACTACCATAGTTCACTTTGAGTGAAGAATCTATTTTATTCCCTCACAGATGATTTAATATTATTCATCTGCAGAGTCACAAAGTCTGTGACTTAAACAGTCAACGTTTGTTGTTAAACATCTTTCTCATTTAAAAAATCTTCCATAGTCTAATAATGGCACTGTCTTGCTTTAATAAATCATATAGTCTGTAAAATATATAGTGATATAGTGGCAGGAAATGGCAGAGCCGTAATTACAGCATTAAAAATTAAGCATCCCATATCCCTCCTTCTTTTGAATCAGAAGTAGCTCCACAATTTTAGAATGTTAATGTAACGGCTTAATATGTATGTTGTGATTATCATATTTACTCACCTACCTTTTTAGATCCGTACAAAATATCTTTTTTTTTCTGTGTTTGAAAAACGACCTCAGCATAGATGTTTACTCCATCCAGACGTCTGCACAGTCATACTGTGAATTGCAACACTAGAAGAAATTAAATCACTGCAAGTCTATTGTCTGTTTTAATGTGTAAGTGTTACGATACAATGCAGCAGAGGTTTTCTTTATGTCAAGTGCAATGGGCCTGATTACGTTAACTGTCCGTCATAAATGATTTGTATTGCTCTGAGTTACATATATTGTCTTAATTGCATTGCTTGGTTCAGCAGTGTATTCACTGTAACAGTGTACCATGTCTTTTTTAATAAACAATAATCAATACAATAGCATACAAATGATTAAACCTGTCTGTTTATGCAGTTGATTTTAGATTGATCAGTTTCTTCAGCATCTAATAAATTCAATAGTGCATGAATGTTGTTGTTTACTTCTATCTGTAGTAGCTGGGCATCATTGATGGGAACAGACAAATGTATTATATACTGCATAGTGAGTGTATCATGTGTTTAATTAGTTCATTATTTAGCTTGTGCACCCTGTGGTTGTAAAGCTGCTCTCTCTGTCCCGACTGTATCAGCAGAATTAATGGTGTTTGAATAAATATTGGCCAGTGGTGAATCCAGGATGATGCTGGGTAATTCATGTGGGCCTTAAAATATGACACTTTGCTGCTGATGTTGACTAATACAGTCCTGAAGCAAACAGAACTATATATACATTTACTTTATAACATTTTACAGGACAAATCGAATTGTTGTACTGAGCTCAGTTTCTGAAGGGAATGTAGTCTAACAGGTGCTTCTCTCCTGTTTCCTCAGATCTGACTTTGACGTACTCCAACTATTAAGGCATGAAGTAAGTCTCCCATGTGTGGTTCAGAGAGCAATCTCATTTCAGCGTGCCCCCGTTAAGGACCCTCTGGTGGCTACACCGCTGATTCACAGGACATGTACGGCAGTGCCAGAGCTGTAGGCCATATAGAGAGCAGCCCCGCACGGTCCCCGCGCCTGCCAAGGTCCCCCAGACTGGGCCATCGGAGGGCCAACAGTGGGGGCGGGGGTGGTGCGGGGGGCAAGACGCTCTCCATGGAGAACATCCAGTCCCTCAACGCTGCCTACGCCACATCAGGGCCCATGTACCTGAGCGACCACGAGGGCGTGGGCTCCACTGCCACTTACCCTAAGGGCACCATGACTCTGGGTCGCGCCACCAGCCGGGCCATGTACGGGGGCCGCGTCACAGCCATGGGCAGCAGTCCCAACATCGCTTCCGTGGGGCTGCCCCATGCTGACCTTCTGTCTTACAGTGACCTGGGCTCCCTCTCCATGCTGCACTCCCACCACCACCACCAGGGGGTGCCCTCTGCCCTGCTGAGGCAGGCGGTGCGGGGCAGTGGTGGGGAGCTGCTGGAGATACAGGCCCAGTTCAGGGAGATGCAGAGGGAGAATGAGCTGCTGCGCAGGGAGCTTGACCTGAAGGACAGTAAGTTGGGATCGTCCACCAACAGCATCAAGAGCTTCTGGAGTCCTGAGCTGAAGAAAGAGAGAATAATGAGGAAAGAGGAGGCCGCACGCACATCGATCCTGAAGGAGCAGATGAGAGTCACCCATGAAGAGAACCAGGTGAGGCTCTGAGCTAATCCACCCATTACTGCAGCAGATTTCAGCTGCTGCCTGTCTCCTCTCTATCTGTTTTTTTATTTTAAGTGTTGTCTCTTTCTGCTTTCACCATTCTCTTATCTGCAATAGACCACTGTCATCCCCGGCCCAACAATTCACAGAATTACTGCAGTCAGTCATGTTTTTCAGTAATTGTGGAAACCTTTCTTGAGAGAGTTCTTTGTGCACATGAATATTTAACACACACTCACTTCGCATAGTACTCTGACACAGAATCAATGTCAGAGACCACTTGAGCCACAGGAAATACAAAACCCTAATCTAGTTTTCTCTAATCTTGTTTTTTTGAAACCCGTGCTAATATACAGAACGTTTATAAGAAACCTTCATATACAACCTACTCTCAGTTGTTTGTGATTGATTGATAAGATGATGACACTGCCAACATGTGAATAACAGCTTCCTGTACAGTTTGACCACATTAACGCTTTGCTTTTCATCTATTTTTAAAGTTTGTTGTAAGATTGTTCACAGAGAGTGAGATGTCAAAAGGTTTTTGCTCTCCTCATTGTGTGGGTGTAGTCATGGCCCAGTTAAATCAGTTACTGACAAGAGTAGGCACAAGGCCCAGAGACAAATGCCAAGGACACTTAAACACTCAATATCTGTCTTCTACTCTCTCTGTCTCTCCCACTGTCTTTCCTTTACTTACTCAGACATTGACCATTTCTCTCTGTCTTCATTTGTCTTTATCTGAGTTTTAATCCAACAAAAATGTTGAAAAATATCAACAGTCAGAAAATGTGATACTAACAATTCAATTCAGTTTGATTTATTTGTATAGCCAAATCAGATCATAAATGATCTCAAGGCACTTTACATACTAAGACCTTACATTTTATATAATACAAAAATCTGACAGGTCTCACTGTGAGTTAGTGGCATTGTAGAGAAAAAAACTCAATTTTTAATGGGGAGAAACCTTGAGCAGTGTTGGAGGCCATCTGTCTCCACCAATTGGGGTGAGAGGAGGGGTGAGACAAGAGGTGGGTGGAAAAGAGGGGAGAGAAGAGAGAAAGAACAGGAACCTTTGGGTGAACCGTCACTGTCAGACTGGTTGTTATGAAAATAATGATAGGGATATGTTAATAGTGATAGAGGCACCAGTTAATAAAAATCATAATAATTAGAATGATTTATTATTATAGCTATTATGGCTATTATATAGTTACAAAAACAGCCAAATATCACTACCTACACTTGCATTCAATATGGAACAACACTGTGTGTCTATGTTTTAGTGTTTCATGTTTCAGTTTTAGGATGACATTATCCTCTGCAAATTAAGAAAAACACATTTCACCCATCTTTGTGATCCATAGTATATCACAGCAACCATAAGCTGAACGTTTACATATAAATCCCTTGTTTTCTGCTGCAAGTAAAAGTAGGTATATAGATTGTGGAATGGGTCATCGTATTTCTCGACAGGCTGGATGAAGCTTTTTTCTAACTTTTCTTGAGACAGGCTGTGGTGGCATGACGCAGCAAAATGCTTGACGCTTCGAGCAACGTGAAAAGGCTACATTTTAACAGCTGGTCGTGTTCTTTGTGCCAGTCTGCGTTTCTGTCTGTCTGGTTGAGCAACGTTGTCAGACACGGAGCAGCCAGTAGGCCACTCATTACTCAAAGCGGCAGATGCTGTCACTCCACTATTCAAGGTCAAAGCAGGATATCATTAGTGTGACCCTTAATTGAGACCCTCTTGTCCCTGTGCACGTCTGCTTGGATTTGTGTGTATGAACGTTCCCCGAATAGATTTTAGCCTCGTTACGTTTAAAGAGGCTCCAGTTTCCCAGCTTGTCCCTGAAGTAGTGTCATTCTGCTAAAGGGAGCGATGTCGAGCTCTCACAATCGCATGATTTTACCTGGTGGCGATCCCCAGAGAGGAGCCAAAGGTGCTTTGACTCTTTTATATCTGTATGATTCATGAAAATGTATAAGGTCAGCGTTGTGGAACAGAAAGAGTCCGTTCGAGCCATGGCAGCGCTGCCACTGACAGGACCAGAGCCATTCATCATTTCACTTATCCCTTATGTTCAGTGCGATTAACCACTCAGAGTGAATCTTTGTGTAAAGAATATTTTTAGCTTATGGCTTTGCACGCTGTAGGAGCTGAATGTGTCCGGCATAATGTGAGGCTGTGCAGTGTGGGCTTTCATGCTCACTATAAAGAGAAGAGAGTTTTTTTGTCCTGTACGTCAGTGTACGTGTACGTACGTCAGTGTTGGCTCTGACTCTGCAATGGGTGATATTTATATCCCATTAATGAAGTATGTCAGCTAATAAATGGCAGATGCGCCTTGTTAATTGTTCTTTTCTCTCTTGATGTCAGGCGCTATGAGGCATCTTTACGAAAGCGCATATACTTACAGTGGGAAGGTTTGGTCACACCAATCAGGCTGGTTGAGAGGAAGACTGAGAAGCAAATTGTCTCATTAATAATGGAGTAATTTCAGGCCAATCGTTACATCTGTCTTATTGCACCCTTTACAATTGCATCAGGTGCCTCAGGCCTCTATTAGCTTGAGCAAATGCCATGCATTATTTATAAAAATAAGATCTGGGAATAAATGCTGCCAATTTTTTGATATACCACGTCTTCGGAAAAGAATAAAACCATTCAGGTATCAGACTCCACTGTGAGTGAAATACCAACTATTGCTTGCAGTCAATGGTTATGACTAAATGTAATGAATGGACGAGGCCTGTTTTGTGTGCCGCACTTTAATCGACTGTGTAGCTGGCGTCTGTTATAAAACAGAACAGTTTGAGTTCAGCTGAATTTTTTGTCGTGCTGAAGCTGGACAAGAGCTGCTGGAGGCAAGTGAGTGAGCTAGAGCGTAGCATGTCTGAGTCATGACCACTGCTGCTTAGCCAGCCAGTCAGCCTTCATCAACGCAACCCCCAAAATGGAGGCTGAGCTTCCCATATCACTCTGCTTTGTCTGTACTGTAAGCTGCAGATTGTTCCACGTCAACGAGCTGTAAAAGTGTGAACATGTGAACACTGCGGGACTGTTGTGTCTAACCAAAGTGCTGGGGGTTGGGCGTACAGCATATGGGAGCACACTGTAAATAAGGATGCATGTTTGTGTGGACATGTATTGACCACACAGTCTGCGGTGTGTGTGTGCACTGATTGTGAGCTGATGGAAACGTTTGCATTTGTGATTAGAGGTTTTTCCTTGTTGTTGCTTTGCCAGTTAAACATGTGAGTGCAGATGTTTAGTCATCATCAGTCTGTTTTGTGTGTGACAGACGTAAACACTTCACATCGTACATTCAAAGGTAGAGTAAACTATTCATCAAAACCATGATATTTTAACGCACAGCTAAACAAATCTACAATCTGCAGTTCCCCTTCAGTCTCAATAGTTTATTTAGTATGGAGTATAAAGTATACACTAATTGAGTATATACTAAGCAGGATGTTAGTAGGCGTGTCTGACCACATGCATATATATAACATAGTGAGCCGGTATGGACACAGGAAGTATCATGTGAACAATCAAAGTGCCCGTGGATCCTTTCTGTGACAACCACCCCCTCATCTGAGCACATAAGATGGCTGCGGCTTCAACCAGAGGACAGGGAGGTGATGAAATGAAGAGTCCCTCTCCTCATTTTATGTCATATTGTTGAGATGAAATGAGGAAAAGTGAGTCATTTACAGAGAGCAAGGCTGGTAAGATTAAGATGGGAATGAAGAATGGAAGAACAAAGCAAAGGGGATAGGATGGGTTCCAGTCCACTGGTGTGTCTTTTTCCCCTAGAACTGCAAAGATTTAGATTAATTCAGAGCAGGGACAACAGTGCAGAAATTTCCATATGAATCCAATTGTGAGTATATTCTTCTTTTTAAATAACAAAAGTGGGAAAGACATTGAATCCCTACATTTCCACTGCAATTGTACTTTCTTGAATTGTTTGTAAACACAGTACAGTGACACAGATAACTGATTTCATAATCTAATCTAAAATTAATAATAATTTGATGTGAAAGACATCATCTATAATTGTCATTAATGATTCTGCATTGTGAGCATAGACCGTATTTAAAGATAATGTATCTCCACTTCTTTCTGCTATAAGAAAGTGAAGCATAAGTATCTCGAACGGGTTCTGCATCTTGCACTGATGACATCATTTGGAGCCAGAGTCTGAGCTGTAGTGTTCCTGGAGTGGAGACACTTTATCGAGGTCTCACCAATATACATGCTCAAACAATCATGAGTCAGCCTCAGCTGTCTAGTAAGACTAAGAAAATTAACACATGAACATACATTTGCATGAGAAAAACTACCTAAAATGACAGGAATTATCTCTGGGAAAAAAAAAAAATATTTAGCATGCACTTTGACTTTATAGTTTGGCCTATAGTCTGCTAACATGGAGGAGACAGGGTTTATGACCTATATTGCACCCAGCCACCAGAGGGTAATCAAGATGTTCACTGGGCCCTGGCTCATCGTCCATGTTTGAACAGGCCAACGATCCTGAGAAAAACAATGTCTTTGTTACTGGATCTGTATATGAGCTGTGTGTCTTGACTGATTTTGGCATTATTGATTGTCATTAAAAATGAGTTGATTCAACAAATACTCGCTGTCAGCTGTAGGACATGACATACTGTTCACTCAAATAGGATAAAATATTTCTAGAATCAAGTTTCCCAGAACAATATTTGAAACCATGTGTGGTGTTTGTGCAAATGCCAGAACCCAAAGGTGGCAGTGGTGCAAAGGCCAATACTGGCATTTAGTTCAAAGAAATGTAAAGCATGAGGAGCTTGAGGTTAGAGGAACTGTGTTGGGACCTGGACTGGCAGGAAAAAAGTGAATAAACAGCTGCCCACAGCTGCAGGTGTGTGGGCGGGTTAAATACTGAGGTCACATTTCCATTGTGAGTAAACGTAGTTAAACAATGAAGGATTCTTCTTCC